GGAAACCATGTGAAAATAAAGAATGATTATATACAGAGACAAAGAAATACTGATGTGCAGTTCTCAGCAACAAGAAAAATGCTATTGGAGTAACAACTTGCACGGGGTGTCATAAACTGTATATGCCAGAGAAAAATAACAAGACGTGGATCCTTGCTGGCACACTCATCCTCGTGCCATTCAATATCATGAACACTGAGTATCACAATCACAAACACATTTTAATAAGGATGGTAAGTGCCTTTATCAAGTCATAATAGTCACACAAACAATTACATAATCATGGCTGCTTATGTGATCATTATATAACAGACCTACAAGCAAGTCTAATTATTAGAAATAAAAGTTGACAATAACCACAACAATGAAGAAATGTAATATTATTTTATGGATCTGTATGACTAGTTCAAATTTATTATGATGCATTTCACAAACAGAAAAAAATGTTTACAAGAAAACAAAATTATAAAAAAAGTATTCCTGTCCTTGGCAATTACAACACAAAGCAGATCGGGGCAGGTAAGGAACGTCATTGACTTTGGTGCCACATACTGTAATAATCTAGGATGTTTAGCTTTATGGTGAGGAAAACTATACAGACATGTATTCCTATGTCAACCATAAATGATCCTATAATGCATCTATCAATTCTACATTCTGCATTAGATCCCCCTAGACGGGGGGGAGAGGGATAGAGAGTCACCTAGCTGACTAGATCTGTCCTTGATGTATTATAAATGACCTGTCACTAGAGAATGAATGATCCTGAACACTATTGCTTAAAAACTGAGGCAAGTAAAGTAAACGTATATGAGTGAATAATGACTATGGTCTATACTATGGGTAAAAAGCGTCACCCATAAATTTAGCTGCAGGTGGTATAGGTGGTGACCATGTTTCCTACTCTCTGCGTGACAGTCCTACAGGTCCTCCCACCACTTCCTCCGCTTGAGAACCTCTTCTGCTGCTGTTGGAAGACATGTGCCTGGCCACCAAAGTGAGCTCTGTTGTGGGCCTGCTGGTGCCGCCTCATGTGGTCCGTGTGCTGGAAGTGGCCACCCCCAAAGAATGAATCGTGAGAGCCAAAGGCATCATGGCCAAAGCCGCCTCCTCTTCCACCAAAGAAGTCCTCCATGTCCATGAATCCATCTCCCTGCATGTGTGGAAAGGGTCCATATTCTAATACTTGGCTACTTCCTCATAACTACACCCTATATAAGACGTTAGTCAGTTTCTAAAACAAATATATTAGTAGATTTAACAAAGCTTCCATGTTGCATATCCTTCAACATGACTGACTTATTGATTCTACAGAAAAAAAAAAAAAAAAGACTTAAATACTGGTATGCTACTCAAATAAATCTCAATTAATAAGAACTTGTTATTATTAATTTGTTAAGTTAATTTCCAAAAAGCTTACCTGAATCTGGACCTACCTCAGAAGTCACACAGAATGATTACTAAATGCATGAGTAACAATTACTTAACAATAATGAAGTTTCTTCTATCTACCTTTCTGCAGTTCACAGAATGTGACAGTAAGGTACAGAATGGTATGTGTACAAATGATCCCAAATGATGCTGTACTGCAGGCTTTAATGGTAAGTTAGAGCAAGCAATAACTAATCCGACATTAAGCTGACCTCCAAAAACAAAAGAAAAACATGGATACTGAATATTCTACTTCATCCTCAGGCATGCATTCCTCTACTAAAGTAAAGCACAGATCTACTTAATAACATCAGGTCAATAACCCATTTCCATACATGCAAGGTAACATGGACATGCATTTAAAAAGTGAAATATTACTCTAACCAGAGTATACATTTATGATAATGTAATTATTACAAAAATTACCAATTTTTTTATCATAAGAAAAAAGCTAAAGAAAATTGGTTACATATATGAAGAAAAACAGACATTAAACTTACAAGTATTTAATTTTTCACAAAGGCATGCACTAAATAATCTTGTATACAGCTTTGTCATCCTTACTCTTCTTTCTTCAATCACTCTTATTAACTTCAAGCCAACAATCATTCACAAGATATTTACCCAGTACATAGAGTATTTCTTGGTTAATAAAGCAATAAATTGTGTTCATTGCAACAAATGCAAAAAAGATATGAAGGCAAGAGTAAATATATATCTGATTATACATTTGATATATAATCAAAACCAATCAAATACATCTCTTCCAATGCCGATATTCATACCTTTTCTATATCAACCCCTATGATCTACATGACACGCCCATCCCGTCAAGAAAAAATTTGGCTTGAGGTGTGGGCAACGTGAACATGCCACCATGGGGAAATTTGGCTGTGGGCCGGGTGAGCAATCTAGCCATCATGAACATTTCTGCTGAAGGGCAAAGACTCGCCACAAGTACTCTCGGAGGGGATTAGACTCTTTTGGCATTTAATTTTGGCTTTTGCATTATTGCCATCGATAAACAAGTTTGGAATGTAGTCTGAGAACCATGTCTGGAAGAGCACTTGCTCCAGGGAGGAAGCTGTTTCCCGGATTCCTTTCCTGTCCACCATGACCGGTGGCACAGGTCGGATTACAAAAAAATGGATTATTATTATTATTATCATTATTATTATTATGACTGACCTGACCTACCTCAGAAGTCACACAGAATGATTACTAAATGCATGAGTAACAATTACTTAACAATAATGAAGTTTCTTCTATCTACCTTTCTGCAGTTCACAGAATGTGACAGTAAGGTACAGAATGGTATGTGTACAAATGATCCCAAATGATGCTGTACTGCAGGCTTTAATGGTAAGTTAGAGCAAGCAATAACTAATCCGACATTAAGCTGACCTCCAAAAACAAAAGAAAAACATGGATACTGAATATTCTACTTCATCCTCAGGCATGCATTCCTCTACTAAAGTAAAGCACAGATCTACTTAATAACATCAGGTCAATAACCCATTTCCATACATGCAAGGTAACATGGACATGCATTTAAAAAGTGAAATATTACTCTAACCAGAGTATACATTTATGATAATGTAATTATTACAAAAATTACCAATTTTTTTATCATAAGAAAAAAGCTAAAGAAAATTGGTTACATATATGAAGAAAAACAGACATTAAACTTACAAGTATTTAATTTTTCACAAAGGCATGCACTAAATAATCTTGTATACAGCTTTGTCATCCTTACTCTTCTTTCTTCAATCACTCTTATTAACTTCAAGCCAACAATCATTCACAAGATATTTACCCAGTACATAGAGTATTTCTTGGTTAATAAAGCAATAAATTGTGTTCATTGCAACAAATGCAAAAAAGATATGAAGTGCAAGAGTACAAGAGGTGTACTTGATATATAATCAGATATATATCTGATTATACATTTGATATATAATCAAAACCAATCAAATACATCTCTTCCAATGCCGATATTCATACCTTTTCTATATCAACCCCTATGATCTACATGACACGCCCATCCCGTCAAGAAAAAATTTGGCTTGAGGTGTGGGCAACGTGAACATGCCACCATGGGGAAATTTGGCTGTGGGCCGGGTGAGCAATCTAGCCATCATGAACATTTCTGCTGAAGGGCAAAGACTCGCCACAAGTACTCTCGGAGGGGATTAGACTCTTTTGGCATTTAATTTTGGCTTTTGCATTATTGCCATCGATAAACAAGTTTGGAATGTAGTCTGAGAACCATGTCTGGAAGAGCACTTGCTCCAGGGAGGAAGCTGTTTCCCGGATTCCTTTCCTGTCCACCATGACCGGTGGCACAGGTCGGATTACAAAAAAATGGATTATTATTATTATTATCATTATTATTATTATTATTATTATTATTATCAAAAAAAAAAAAAAAAAAAAAAAAAAAAAAAAAAAAAAAAAAATAAATAAATAAATAAATAAATAAATAAATCTTTAAAGGGATGCATGGAGTCTTGTTACTGTACATGAGTGTTCCTTTGTACCCAGCCAACAAGCCACATACCCAGCAGTGTCTGTTCACATAAGCCTAAAGCCCTTATTTTGGGCCACATGATGGAAGTGAAGCATCCGGATCCAATGGGTTAATGTAGCAACTCAACTTTTCTTAGTAAGCATTAGTAAGCCCAGATCTTACATGCTATCATGTAAACAAAATATATATGCAAAATACTCACGAAATCGCCAAAGTGTCCAAAGTCTGCAAAGTTCCCGAAATCACTGTCAAATTCGAAATCCTTGAACAAATCATCAAAGTTAAAATGGAAAGCATGGTTGTGGTGTCCTCCACCTCCACCAGCAGATTTCTGAGAGTATGCAGAATGGCCCATGTGGTCGTACTCCCGTTTCTTGTCCTCGTCAGACAAGACCTCGTATGCTGTGTATAACAAGGACAGCATTAAGAACATGAAAGTCCACTTGCGGCAAGTATATGACAGTCATATATCCAACCCTATTTCAGTGTTTTGTTCCATAAAGCAAGAGAAAAAGATTATCAAATTACCTTCCGCAATTTCTCTAAACTTTTCCTCAGCGCCTGGCTCCTTATTCTTGTCTGGATGATACTGAACTGCAAGTTTGCGGAAAGCTTTCTTTATCTCCCGATCAGTTGCCTTCCTGCTTATCCCCAAAACGTCATAGTAATCCTTAGCACATGATGCCAGCACAGCAAGGGCCACGAGTAGGACAGCAGTTACCCACATTGAATACATGGTGTTGGGTCAGCCTTCGATCACAGGGGGCTGAATATACTCCACACCTGGTATGCGAAGAAAATTTCTTATATTAACTTGCAGTCCCTAAAATCTCTCCAAAATCACCTGCCTCTTATCCAACTTTTTGTCCTCATTTATATAACAAGCTAAAAAATAAGTCATATTTGATATTTGTCTATACTTTTACTCAGCCATTTCTCTAATACTAAAGAATTTAGATCTTCACAAAGCATACTTAACTTTAACTTATCCTTGGCAATGTAAAGACAATGCATCATACAGAAGGTTAAAGATATCCTATTTCGTAGAAACAATTACTTTATTCAATTTATTCATTGGTATTGTGATAGCTATTGTAATACTGGTAAATTTTCATCACAACTGCTGCCACTGATTAAAACTTTATAACATCTTTGACCAGTGAGATCATATATAAAAGGTGATGTAAAAACTAGTACAAATGCCACATCCATGGATATAATATCTAGATTCAGTCAAAATTGATTTAAGGGAAATTTCTTAATGAACTTTTAATAAAACTTGTTACTAGTACATTCCCTACACATATGTCAAGGTGCAGATGCACTTGTTAATTCACAAGGTTTGATTACTGAAACCAATCCAAGGCAACAATTCTCATCCACTGGTTACCTGTTATCTTGAACCTATTTCATAAACCTATTTTATACAACTACTAGCAAAATAAAAATTAAAAAAATCTATTGCAATGAAACCTTTTCTACATCAAAATAATGGACAAATACATATCATAAAACACAGTTTATATATGTATGCAAGGAAATTACCTAGAATACAAGCGTAATATTGATTATCATCACAAGGCTGAGTTAAATATGGAATTTCTTCTGCTAGGAAGACCAAAACATAAAACACCTCCAGAAAATGGAAAGCTTCTTTAATAATGTGGATGGTAGAAACATTAGACTCTCTCAAAAGAATAATATACAGTATTGTCACAGCAAGCTCTGCAGTCTAAGGATTCCCAAATTGCAATCCTGTAAATTCTGTTTCAATCTGAAAATGTTCTGGACCACAAATAGCAATTTTGTGTTTGTAAATAAAAGCATAAATCAACAAAAGCTTTCATACTAAAACACATGAGATCACAGTTACGTATTTAATCAAAAGTCAATTAAACATGTTTGATTCTTGCATTATCTATCACATTTTAAAAATCAAACCACATTACTTGGATCAACTCTAAATACTCCCTTTCACATTCAAAATATTTAGTCCTTACAGATTTGATCTCTGATTCCTCAACTTAAATATCAAAATATTCTCAAGGTAAGTAAGTGAAGAGGAGAATCTAAAATGAAACTGGTAACACTTCATTCTAATATTGACAGAAAACTGAGGTAGAAAACAGAAAAGAAAGAATCAAACACTGATAAATGAGGAAAATGCGAGTTGCTTCAAGCCTCTAATAAGTTCTATCTGTTCATACTAATAATAATCCACAAGGATACATAACAATCTTGGGAAAAAAAAATAATAATAACCTTAAGCTTAATAAATCAGTCATCATCAATATTGCAATTGTTCCCAATGTCCCTCAGCATTCATACCATAAATTTTACCCTGGTTATCTGGAAAAAGGGTGTTGTGTGGATCTGGATGATCAACAAACACTTGAAACACTTTTCGTAACTCATCACAAAACCGGGGAGGCTCAACTCTTGGAGATGTTGAAAAGTTCTTCAACAAGACCTTGTCTGGCAGGTTAACATAGTAGGAAAAAGTTTCCATATCTTTATAATAGAAAGGCTCAATACAAATTGTTCCATTTTTGTGGTCGTACAAATCACACAACATTCCTTCAGAAACCCAACGAGATGCAGATCTCAGTGGTAAATTAGGTTCATGTGAGGTAAAGTGTGCAGGGAAAATGAGTCCATTTGACATATCTACTCCAACACCATATGCAATAGGCATGGGGCCATCCATCCCAGTTCTGGTGTTGAGTCTTCCTGTGCACCACAAAGAAAGGTTAAATGTGCATTTGTGATGGCTAAACATCCGGAGGATCTTAAGTGATAACAACTCAGATTCATTCCTTTTTGCCTCTCTGCTTCCTTCCTCAGGCTGGTAACCTCCTACAACAAACAGCTCCAAGTCACTTGCATCATCTTCTATTCTGTGTATCTTTTCTACTATTGCTTTAAGGGCATCCTCCTCATTCTTCCGACCATCAAAGTGTGCCACAGCCGTGGTACCCGAAGGGTGCCTGATCACTACCACATGACAGGTAGTGGCATCATCTGACCCCACAATTTTCACTTTTGTGTCTTTGGCAGGCACAACTCCATATTCCCCCTGAGCAACAAATAATGTGAAGTGGGAGGGAACCTGCACTTCTGCCTGCTGGGCAAAACTGAAGCCCTTCTCTACAAGCCCTGGATAGCATTTATACAACTCTTCAGTCGACGTTATGGTCTTAGTCAAGGGATGCCCTTCAACTACTATAACCATATCTGCCTACTTTACTCTTTACTGGTCCAAACACTATTCCATCTATCCTCTGCGCGGATTGGCTTGCCTAGGGCAAGACTTCCACCAGCCGATCCTGCAAGAGAAGAGGGGAGGTGTTCCAAACAAACTTGAGCAAAATGTCAAATGTGTACAGTCAAGGGTTTATAGGTTTATATATTTTTCTTAAATACATTACAGTGTCAGGTCTGAATCTTGTCCCTAAACTCAGAACAGTGAAAACATACAGCTTTTCCTCCAGAATGACAAAAGATATAACACAAGCCATATATCTAAATTGACCTAAAAACATTACAGTGCTAGGGTGAATATTCTATCCCGGCCTATAAATTAAATCCCAAAAATAGTAGTAGCCAAAATAACAAAAGCAGCAGCATTTCTCTGAATTTCCCTAATAAGTTTGGAAAAATAAGGCCTTTATGCAGTAATAAACCAACAACCTACAACAAACAAACTCTATAAAAAAATATAACAGTAATACAATACTACTTACTATTTTTTTTTTTCTTAACTTTTTAAAAGAAAGTAGATATAAAATCAAGAAATAGACATTCACAAATTCATGTTCAGAGACTTAAAAACCATAAATAAAAATACAAGGGCCACTTCTACCATAATTCTTCTAATACATAATATGGGAATACATAACACATGCACAGAATATTCAGTATGTACTTGTATTGCTTGAACAAAAAAGGAAAGCAAGGGAGTGAATGTGTATATATATATGTGTATATGTATATGTATATGTGTGTGTGTGTGTGTGTGTGTGTGTGTGTGTGTGTGTGTGTGTGTGTGTGTGTGTGTGTGTGTGTGTGTGTGTGTGTGTGTGTGTGGGTGCGTGCGTGCGCGTGTGCGTGTGCGTGCACATATGTACATGTACATGTACTATGTATATGTACATGTGTATGTGTATGTATATAAATATAGATGTAAGATATAGATACGGACAAACGGACAGACACAGACACATACATGTGTGTAGTGTGTTTAGTGTATTATGTATTATGTGTCGTGTGTGTATTATGTGTTGTGTGTGTGGTGTTTTGTGCGTTTGTAGTATGTATGCGTGTGTAGTGTGCATGTGGAGTGTAGAACCCTACATATGCATGTGCAACTCCCCCCCCCCCCTCACACAAACAAAATTATCAGTTATGAACCAACATTCACGAAACACTTTATTCATCAGCATTCATTGCTTTCACTGTGTAAATTTATGCTTGAATTAAAAAATGCCTGAAGTTGAAAACAACATATTTGTGTATAAATTATATTGGTATTACACTACAAAAAATATGTAATAATAATCCTAAATAAAATTAGAGATAAAACACTCAAAAAATATATCTGCTTTAATCCTTTCTTGTCACAAACTTTTACTACAGTCCGCTTTTGGATATTTTTCCACATAGCAAGAAGGGAGCAAAGGATTTATTGTCAGGAAACCCTACCATAATATGTGTCTATATTCTCAAGACTTACAGTTTGTTAATGTTCCACTTCCTAAGGATTTGTAGTATTAAACAAAAGATGTATAACTTGAACTAAATTACTGTTAAAACTGTACTGTGACTTGTACCCAAGCGTGAAATTTTCAAAGAGCTTTACTATATTCTTATACTTGATCAATATATTTAAACAAGTTCTATAATTCTGAATGCATTTGCTCAATATTGCCACCACTGAATTACACCAATTGAATTATTAAATAAAATATCAGCATATGATGCTTAGGAACTCACTTCACTGGCTTTTTACACACTAAAAAATTTTTTTTACTCAATATTTCTCATAATATGTGTCAATATGCTATCAATTACTTGATTACAATTAAAAATTTGTGATTGGGACTGCATTCCAAATCATAATATATGATATTTAAACAGTAGCCTTTTTTAGCTTTGCAAAGTTTTCTCTTTTTTAATATTTAACTTTAACTTAAATCAGGATATTTCATATAAATCTAATTACAGATCAAGAAATACAAGTTAACTTCAATATATGATATATTACTGTTTAACAGCATTCACTTCTGAACACATCAATAAGTGATATGATTGGGTGGCAGTCAGAACTTTCTTTCTAAGTTTCAGTACCAAAATTACAGTAATTTTTAAATCAAAGCAATTTCTGTAATTTCACTTTTAAAAAATCTATCTTTTACAATAAATGTTTACTTTAATATAACATAAATATGACAGATACACTGGTTACAAAGAAAAAAAATCTTTACTCTGGAGTAGAAGAAAACAAAACAATCCCTAGTTGATTTGGGAAGGTTGGTACTTCTTGTTTTCAACACATGGAACATGGCAATATTTGCATTGGAGACCTCACAGGCCATACTTGTTAATTCTGCTTCACCCTGAGGGATTATCATGAGCCATAACATCAAGAAAATTAGGTATTTCAAAGCCTACAGCAACACCAGGCAACTGGACCAACCGGAGGCAAGGGCAGAAGTGGGCATTCTTTATGTATGACAGAGGAAGAAGATCAAGTAACTGTCATTCAAAATTATAAATCAATGTGCTATATGAAAGACAAATAGGAAGTTTGCATGAGGTGCATGAATATCATGAGTTAATAAAAACCATCTGATGCTCTGTGGCAACACCCCTCACAGCTGACTGGGTTTGCAAAGGGGGCGTGGCTGGTAGTTTGTTGCCATATCCCTTTCCCATGAGTAATTTTCTTCTTGGTTATTTTTCAATTTTTCATTGTCTAACTACTACCAGGAAGACGGATCCCTTTTCTTCTATTGGCAATGTCAAGTGGAACGTCACATTATGCTGCAGCATGCAGACTGTCTGAAAACCACTGGGCTGTTTGAGTGGATGCACAGCAGTGGGGTCAGGGAGTCGACAGATGTCCTCACCCCCCACCCCCCATAAATGATGCCCCTGCCAGGGATGCTAAAATCTGGTTGAGCTCACAGCACTTTTTCCAACCACATTCGTTGTCATATCTTATTGTTAAGTCAGAAAAAGAAAAAACACTTCTCTTAGCGTGTGTCTCAGGTACGTAATTTTATCTTAGAGGTCTGACAAGGGATTAGCCAGCTTACACATTTGTGAAGCTATGGCAATGCATAGCAAAATCTACAACTAAAGACATGGTCTTATCAATATGGTACGGCTGCTTTACCAACAGATGATTCTCCATCATAGATCTCAAAAGTAGCAGTGAAGAAAAAATGGTTAATTTTTCAACAATGACAATTGGGTCTTCCCAGACAATATTTGTTCTCCTGTGATGAGAACAAATCTGATGATCATTTCCGTTACATTCACCAGCCGACAATCTTGATGTGATTTGATAAGTCCCAATAGCAGGGGTGGACATGAAGTAGATCAGGGAAATTATGGGGTAAAACAGGATGAAATAACAAGAATGGTGAACAGAAATGCGTAAAACAAGAAAAAAAATATTTAAAATCGGGTAATGCAGATGTCCCCACCATCATAGAAAGTCAACAGACTGACGCACTAACTTTCAAAAAATGATGGTTTGACAGTAATCAAACCATCGTTCAGTAAAAATCTACGGGATTTCACATAATCCAGATCCCTAGGAGTAATTATACAATGCGTTCTAACCAATAAACCAATCTGACCTTAACCCTGGGAAAATTTTGAGTATGACAATCGGGATTACCATATAAAATGTGTATGGGGTGCGCGTGCGTGAGTGTGTGTGCATGTGTGTGTGTGTAACAAAAACTAAGCCACTTTTGATCTATGGCAAAAGGTGAACAAATCAAAAATAAGGGAGAGAAGAGAGAAGATTGACTCATCAATTTCTAAGTGTCCATCTTGCTTACCTTGTGAGAATCAAACCAAATGTGACACGGAACTCATTACTGCAAATTACTCTACAAAGATGTGGTTTTATCCATGGGGTCCTAGCGCCCTAGCTAGAGAATATATAGATTGTAGTGTATAAATCAAACAGGGTCCAGAAGGTAAAACCACATACTTTTATATAGTGAAGCACCAAACTTTTCATTGCTTCCATCTATGGTCTGAATTGCTTAGTTTCCAGCATTTTAGGGCACTTGACTAGTTCAAATATTAGGCTATGATAGATACTAATGACTATTTGTTCTCCATATCCACTTTCTGTCCTTAAAAATGCCCCAGAATCTATTCTGTACAAAGGTTATTGTACAGAATAGCACAAATAATTACCAAAACATGTAAAAGAAGTACAATACAACTAAGACTGCATTCAATACATGAATTCTGAATAACAAAAGCTGATAACTACAAAGCTATTATTCTCACAAGTGTGTAGTAATACATAGTAAACACAAAAGGGGTATAGTAAATGATAGGTCAATCTTCTCTCTTCTCTGTCCTGTATTTCCCTTATTTTTGATTAAAGCATCTTTTGCCACAGATGAAAAGTAAGTTTTCGTCAAGGTAACCCTGTTTATCAGGCTGAAAATTTTCCAAAAATGAAAATTACTAGTTTCTCCATAATTAAAAACCATTGTTTTATTCTGTTTTTATGTGTCCATTCTCTGCTCAAACTGCTTCGCGGGGACGAGTTAGCCGAGTTAGACTACCAACAAAATCCGCAATGTCCAGAAATACTAATACCTAAATAAACAGCAGGAGAGAGATTGGCACTTGATACCCAAGCTTCACACACCGTCAGAGTCCAGCGTGAATGCAAGGGATATAGGCCTATCAACCCATAGGCCATTGTGACACCTGTCCTGCACACCTGTTACACCTGTCTTGCACCTGTTCTACCAGGAACATCATCATCTACCTCGCCATTTCTAGACCTTTTTACGCCAATTTTTTTTTTTTTTTTTTTTTTTTGCGAACTTGTGTGAAATCATCGCATAATATGGCTTAGGGTGTGAATACTTAGATGAAATTATGACTTTCGTTTATATTGCCCATAAATAATAAACACTACATATACATACTATATGTAAATCTCATGCAAGCAGGCGAAATAAAAATAATAAATACGAAACAACTTAATAACCAGATAAAAAGGGGAAAAGACAAAAAAAAAAAGTATCAACTTACACACTGAAATTCTTGTTCAATTGTCTTCCTTCCTCCCTTTCTCTTGTTAATTATTCTCCTTTTTTTTGGCTCTTCCACCTTCTTTTCTTTTTTCTTCTTCTTCTTCTTCACCACTTTCTCCACGACGACTGGCCGGCGAAGGAGAATGAAGGGAAATGAAGGCGATAAGGTTGACGTGTTCTTGCTGACTCTCTCCCTCGGCCGCTGATCGATGCTTTCTGGACGGGGTGCTTTGGGATCGTTCGGTTTCTTGCTCTATTTCGTTCTATTTTTTTTTAGGATTTCTCATCTGTTTGTTCTTGTTCGGGTATCATCGTGATTGGATTATATCCGTGGGAGGTTTTTTCAAGGAGAAAGGATGTCGATGGGGTGAGGCGGCGGGGAGTGGTGGTGTATATATGGGAAGAGGAGGATGAAGGAATATGAAATGTGACTGAAGTATTATGAAATTGTTTTGAAGGTCGGGCGCACCCTAGTACACTAAAAGGTTCGTGATTGGTCCAAGTTCAGTGACGTCATCGAGCGCGATTTTCAAAAATTTGGATTCGCAACATCTATTTTTGTTCTTTATGTAAGACTCATTCATATCGCATTCCTTCCATTCTGGGGAAGGATATATTTATCAGCTTTCATAAATAACTGTATAAAAAGACCAAATTTTCTAAATATAGATAAAATTAATGGATTTCCTGTGTATTGCATTATAACTTAACGATAGCTTATCAAAACAAACATTTTTTTACATATGTTGAATACGTAAATTATTTGTATTTACGCAGATATAACATATCAAGGTAAATAATTTCTTTACTCTTCATATAACTACGCACCTGTTTTAATCTCCCTTGCGTTCTACATCAACATCTAAACCTCCCCTTTCACCTCTATTCCCATAGAAAAAATGTGAGATGATATATCAAAAGCCACCTGACGATACAGCAGACGTGTGTTATCTGACCACAAATATTTTCACATTTAATCAGTGCCCGTGTCACTATAGCTGCCGTCCTATAGTACGAGAACTGAAACGCGGCGGCCAGTCCCTCAGAGTAATGTTATGTAATCGTCCATCCCACCGATCAACTTTCTAATAAAAAATAAGGTAGTTTAGAGCGTTTGTGATCGTCCAAATAAATCTGCGTGTAGATGGCTTATATAAATTACACTCTCTGACCCGTGATGGACCAGTTCTAATTATAGCAGAAGGAAGGGAGAAGTCTCGAGAAGCTTCCAAAAGCAGAATTTGCGAGTGATGCGCGGCAGTGGGAGGGACAATTGCGCGCGGGTCGAGGCAGGGGCTACATTTGATAGTCCTTTGCAGTGGGGATACGCAGTGGCTATGGTGATTTTATGAACTGGGATGGTGATTGATGAAATGGTGTGCACAATGGGTACCATCTGATAGGTTAGGATAAAAAAAATAAAATGAGGCGTGGCATACGTAATATTTGATGAGCCTATAGATTAGTATTTGGTTAAGGATTAGCATGGGATAGGATTCTAGGGGAAAAAACATGAGGATAGGTGTGCAATACTTGGCTGTCACTTGAATTGGCATTAGGATAAATATTAGTAGCTGGCACGGCAGTTCTATATTTCATACTGAGTTTTACATAACTAGGGTCCTCTTTGTCAATGACATGGATTTAGCCCAAAACTGCATTATATGTATAATTGAATTATATCATTTAGCATGCAAAACAACCCCTCACGAATTTCTGAAGAGTTTACCCCATTCTTTTGTTCTGCTAAGAACTTATGAAACCATCTATTTGCAATCACAAACAATAAACTAAGCTCGCAGTAGGCATTATATATAACGCTTTGGTCATTTTAGGCGGCCATGGAAAAAACAATACTTTTGCAATTTTCACAATATCTCAATATCAGCTGCTGCTCTCGTTTAGAACATAACTATCAATAGAGAAATTACTTTTTCCCAACAGCCCCTCTCCCCTCCTCCTACAGATTACTAACACGCCCTTGATGTAAGTATGCGCCCCCTGCACGTGCAATATTCCCTATTGGGGGGTTCCGTTCCCGGTCACCAAACCATATGCAGTATCCCTGGTCTTTCGGCAGCTATTACAGTCCCCCTTCCAAGAAAATGGTTTACGTCACTTTAGACATTTTCTGTGTATCGGCAGTGAAGTGGCCAAGTCTGAGAATTTTTTCTATTTCAGATTCAGTTTCCCCCTTACTATACTTACTGGCATTATATATGTACAAAAACCTTGCATCATAGAGTATGGAATACCACAACTATACCCTGTTATCTGTTACATGAAATAAATTTAATAAAATCCATAATCATTATGATCTAAGTACTGTGGTGTGTATGCCTTTGCTTCCCGCACGCTATTTAGGCCTTTGCGAACTCTGAAATGCTGCGTACTTTCTAGATTAACATCATCTAATAGTTAATTTCACAAAACTCAAGTGTTGTTCACAGTCTCTTCTTTATATAATCCAAAAGAGATCACGGATATAATATCGGATCACTCACTTTTACTCACTTTCTCGCATATAACAGCTCATCTATGTAAATTATCATTTATTGCATCAGTATTTTGATAACATAATTACCTACGGATATAAAGAGAATATCATTGTCTTGAACGGATATTTCATAACTGTCATAAAGTTATCTGATTATTATATATACTAGATGTTGTATTTATAATAATTAAGAGATTTTCTCTACAATGTGCATCTTGAATCCTCTAAAGTGATTCATTCAAGTTCTGCGAAGGGGAGGCGTTTGTAGTGTTCTGCGATGTATGTGTTCAGGGGAAGGGGCCCTCTCCGCAGTAGGGGCTGTCCCTGTGTTGATAAATTACGTCAGTGCGATTTAGCGCCATTATTCAGAGTAACATCCACTCACTCACTCTTTCACTCACACACACACACACACACACACACACACACACACACACACACACACACACACACACACACACACACACACACACACAAAAAACACACACACACACACACACACACACACACACACACACACACATACATATTGGATGGCCATTTCCAAATTTCCAGAATGGATATTTAAAAAAAAATAGCCAATATTTACTTTTAACCTAAATTAAACATTTTTAATGAGGATCTAAGATATAAAGTATAAAATGTATGAAATATGTCTAGAAGTGTTGATTTGTCAAATATCACTACAATGCAATGCAGGCTATTTTAAAACATGAAACGCATTCATAAATTATAAATAAAAAACCGAAAGAAATAAATATTAAATTTTACTCCTGAGAGAACAACATATTGTATGCTAACCAAATTAGCTTAATTCAGAAACTGCAGGAAGTAGCCTACTTACCATAGACATTCACAATGGCAGTCTATTTTTTTGTATTTCGCCCCCTTTACTTGCTATCTCCAAGAGTTTTTTGTTGGCCAGGAATCTTTTGTACATGGCCGGGTACTCTTCTGAAATGTTAGATATGGAACACTTGCAGACGGTTTTTCTCTTTTCTCCAAGCTGAGGTCATCATTGAAAAAAAATAGTTGTTCTGTGTGAGCATTGCCGCATGGAATAGAGAAGATATAAGCGTTCATCTTCAGATATATGACTTGTACCTCAAATTTACTGAACAAATATCATCTATCATCTATCTGTCTATCATCTCAGGAGTATTGACAATTGCCTCCAAAATTCCATACTCTTAATTGAATTCATCCATATCAATATCTTGAATGCAATGTACAGGCCTTGACTTTATCAGAGTCTCCAAAAGGTATGGCACTCGTTAGGATAAATTTTGACACTTATGAAAGCTGTTTTCAGAGAAATCATGCGTGTTACTTAAGAGGATACTGGACACTTCACAAAAAAATGTAATAAAGTTTTGCTAATTTGGTTTGAAATATTAAGGTTACAAAGTAAATCTAGTTTCTGCTTTTTATATGAGTATGAACGTCACACCTCACGACGTCATGTTATCAGTACTGATAAGACATATTGAAGCTGAATTATTTACTTGAGCCTTTTGGTATTTTAGCTGCGAATAGTTCAGTGTTATATGAATGGATGGTCACACACTTCTTTACACAATGTTCACATGTCATGTACCGTTGCCATGTCATTTTGATGATAACGTCATGACACGTCACCTCGTAAGGTATACGCCCTTTTACCGCGCTTATTAATTCACCTCTGTACCGTCAACATTTTGTCAAAGTTTCAGATATCACTAAGTAACGGTTGCTGCACAATATACGTTTTGATACGAAAATGTATTTGTGAGTAACAGCCACTACAAACTTTTATGCACATTATATCTATCACTTTTGGTCTCAAGTTTCACGTCTTTTTTATACAGGTTACTGAGTACTTCATTGTGGTAACACACACACACACACACACACACACACACACACACACACACACACACACACACACACACACACACACACACACACACACACACACACACACACACACACACTTCTAGCACGGCGGTGCCTGCGACTCTCCCTTTTTCTTTTCATGTCTTATTTCCTTCCATATCCTTCTTAGCTTTACCTCTTTCTCTCTCCGACTTGTCCCGTATAACTGACGTCTCCGCGTCTCCTCACACTCACTCTGCAGTGTCACCATATGGGATCTGAGTTAATGCTACCGAGAGCGACGCACAGAGATAGAGGGAAATGGGCATTGTCATCTTATGGAGCATAAGAAATAGAATAATAAACAGGTACAGCTGCCTCGGCCTCATATTAACCCGCAAAAAATATCCGTTGCATATCACCGCTCACATACGAGGTCTTCAACACCCTCACACAGCCATTAATGTTGCATTTTCTGTAAGTTGACCCAAATTGCTAGTAAAGAGGGGTACAGGGGGTCTTGCCCCCGCCTAGGGAATAAATAGAAAGTAGGTAAGATTGGGTTTGTTTGGTGTCTTCGTCCCTGAAAGTGCGTAGCTCTAGGTAACTAATACCGGGATCCGGAATTTTCAAGGCTTGAGAAACACATGGCGCCTGAAAATAACCCATATTATCTAGAGCACAGGCTTACTCCTGTTGTACATTGTCATTTAATTGGTCATATAAACCGCGTTTTCGGACCGTTAACTCGCTGTTTTACATTTGTCTGTTAGTAACTAATGCTCATAAGTTTTTGAAAAATCTATTTTTCAGGCCATAAGTGTCCAATATCCCCTTAAGTACATTATGTTTTTTTCATAGAAAATAATGAAGTCTGCTTTATATCTCTTAGCCATATCTGATGTAAGCTGGCTAAGCTTGGTATCCCCTGCAAAGCCAAAAAAACA